CCTGTGTAGACATGTACATGTTAGGAGGAGTGCTACTCACTTGGTCTCACAACACCAAACCATTTTAACCATAAATGGCAACATTTTCTAACTCCTTTAACACTGTTGTGTCTGGTGGTACCCAGTTCTATTATAAACAGCTGACAATTTCTAGATGGATTCTTTGTCTAGTTTGATAATCACCAAATGACTTAATCATTTACTGGTAATGATTATAATTTTTCAAGCTCTGTAATAAGAATTGTTGATGCTTATAATATACATATAAATAATATACTGTGAAAGATTCATGCTAAGTACAAGTAATTAGAATCAACCTCAAAGTCAGACCATCCTGGATTCAAAGTTGGCCTCTATCCAATACTAAATGTGAGCTTAAGCAATTTACATAATATCTGGACCCCTGCTTACTTAGATATAAAATAACAATTCTAGTGGCAGTCATATATTTGGCATTTAATCAGTCATGTATTTGACAAGAATTTATTGAATAGCTACCATACGCCAGCCATTGTTAGAGTTGAGTACACATCAGATAAACCAAGTATAAGCACTTGCTCTGAGCTTTCATTCTACTTTTTGTGAGAATTGAGCATGCAGTACAAGGCATGGGACATGTTAAGTTTCCAAACCATGTTAGAAGGTAAAATTACTATTAATGGGTGATAATGATGAAAATAATGACTTTCAGACCCCAGTGTTACATTATGAAGTTGATAATAACACTGAACTTTTGTATGTGAGGACATATTTCTGGCTCATAGCTCTTTTTTTCTTTTAGAAATTTATTTTATTTTGAAAGAGAGAGAGATCTTCCATTCGCCAAATGGCTGCAGCTACTGGAGCTGGGCCAGGCTAAAACCAGGAACCTGGAACTCTATTCAGGTCTCCAGCATGTGTGCAGGAACCACCATCTTCTACTGCTTTCCCAGGCAGATTAGCAAGAAACTGGACTGGAAGTAGATGGGACTGGAAACAATGCTCATATGGGATGCCTGCATTCCAATCAGCATCTTCTCATTGCATAAGGACACCAGCCCCTGGTTCAGGGCCCTTAATCTATGTGTGGTATCTTAGTGAAGTCTTGCAGATGCAGTCTGAACTGGGACTTGCAACTCCTGATTTGGGGGTCTTTATCACTATGGCCCATGTTTGCTGATGCTCTTATTTACTGAATAATTCAAAAGTGAGTATTAATTGATTTCTATATAAGTAATATTGCCCTCCTATAAAGTGGAAATATTTCTTTTGAAAAAAAAAATATTAGTTTTTCACTCTATGTGAAAGAAAGGAGGGAAGGAGGGAGTAGAGGAGGGAAGAGATTGATTTTCTCTAACCCTGTTCCTTCCCCAATGCCCCAATAACCATGACTGGGCCAGGCCCAAGCTGGAAGCCTAAAACTAAGTCTGGATCTCCCACATGGTTGGCAGGGATATGCATATTTGAACCATCCTCTGCTGCTTCACAGAGTATGTTTTAGTAGGACGAAGGATGGGAAGTGGTGGAGCCCAGGCTTGAACCAGTAACTCACTGATTCAGGATGCTGGTGTTCCAAGCTGCATCTTAAATGCTGTGTCAAATGCCTGTCCCTGAAAATATTTCTCTTCACTTAAAAGCCATTTCTTTGATGAGCAGAACGTTAGCGCCTAACTAAAATATGTGTATCATTATCACAAAAAAACCACCTATATTTTATATCTTTAGATATTTGTGGGGAGCAACTGAAACTAGACTAAATTACTGGAACTAGGACTAATTCCATGCATCTGATCTCCCATAATATGGCGCTGAGAGAGAGACCAAACAACTTCTATGCAGCTGCCTCGCCAATTCTACTGATAAACTGCAGGAGCTGATCCTGCTTCTGATTGGAGGAGAGCAGCATGCTCGGCGTGTGGGTAGCAGAGCATGGATTGGTGGAAGAGGACTATAAAGGAGGAGAGAGACACCATGCACCAGGAACATCTGAGGAAACATCTGAGGAACCCCTGAGCCAGCCGGCGGTGTGCCGCTCCTCCGCGGAAGCGGGGAAAGCGGCGGGGGGTGCCGCCCCTCTGCGGAGGCGGGGAGCTGGCAGCTAACCCGGGACAGCGTCGTTCCTCCACAAGTGGGGGAACGGTAGCAAACCTGGGAAGGGCCGGGCAGAAAGAACAGCGCAGGGTCCGGTGTCGTTCCTCCGTGAATGGGGGAGCAACAATATTAGTTCCCTTTACCATGGCTTTGCTTTCTGTGGGTTCAGTTACTTGAGGTCAACCCTGGTGTAAGAATATTATATGTGAAATTTCACCAAAAAAAATTCATGAGTTTGACATTATGTACCATTCTGAGTAGCGTGACGTAATGTTATGTTTTCCTGCCCCATCTTTCCTGGGATGTGAACCATCCCTTTGTTCAATGTGTCCACATGATATTCCTATTTCCTGCTTGGTTGTTAGCCACTTAGTGCCGTTAGGCGTCTCAGTTACCAGATTGACTGCTGCAGAGTCACAGGGCTTGTGTTCAAGTAATCCTTTTTGTACTTAATAATGCTCTCCTCATGCAAGAATGGTGATGGCAGTAGTTCAGATATGCCAAAGAGGAGTCACAGTGAATCCTTTAAGTGCAAATGTGAAAAAATGTCATGAAGAAATAGGAAAAAAGGCACACCTCTTTGCAAAGACACACGGTAAATATGAATCTTCAATCTGTGAAATTGTGAAGAAGGAAAGGATAAGTGCCAATTTTACTGTGGCACTCAAGATTCAAAAGTTATGGTCATAGTGTGTGATAAGCACTTAAAATTGGAGTGGCACTGAACTTGTGGGAGGAAGACGTGAACAAGACAAGTATTCCAATTATTATAATTGTCCTATTTTGTTGATTGTTAATCTTTACTGAAACGAATTTATAAATTGCACTTTATTACAGGTCTATGCTCATAAGCATAAGAAAAACTACAGCATATTTAAGGTTTCATACTATCCACGGTTTTAGGCATTTTCTAGGGGTTTTAGAATGTATTTCTCATAATAAAGGAAGACTTCTGAATGTGTCTGTCCATCTGTCTATCTTTCCATTATCCATCCATCCACCATCCATGAAAAGCTCCTGTTACAAAGGAAATGCAGGAGCAAACAAACACAAAGTGATTAGGAGGCTCAATACACAAAGAGTGGAGGTAGAAGTTGCATTGTACAGAGGAGGCTTCAAATGGAAACAATGAGGAAAGTCAGGGAGAAAGTCACTTCCAAAACTTATTAGCCACCAATGGGTTTGTGTTTATATTTCTCCTTAACTTTTACAAATAGCTCCCCTCACAAAAGCCATTTTAGAAACTTATCTTTCAAAGTTCGTAAAGACATCAATGATTTTAGTTATCTTCACTTAAAGGGGGGTAATTTTTCATCTAGTCAAGTGTGTATGTGTCTGCCAGGAAAGCTGTGCGCTAACATACATCACACTCAGTAGCTTCAAGGATTTGGTTTGCCTTCTTGTGTGTATTTGAATATAGAATTCATTTCAATGTGACATTTTTTACCACTCATCATATTTTTCTTCTAATTAAGTTCCATAAATGTATCCTCTACCGGGTTGGAGCCATAATAAATTCCCTTCTTGAATTGGCCTTCTGAAAGTCACAAACTAACATTATGATGAATTGCAAAATGAATTATTTCCCTTCCACTGTGTTTATTTTGAACAGCAAAAGGCTAGAATAAAAAATGAAACTATGTTTCACCATAAACAAGGCCATTCTCATAGTGGATACATGACTGTGAATTGAATGCTTCCAGCACTGACACTAGCAGATTTTCCCAAACCATATAGGTCTGATCTGATGTGAGGAAATGATTTTCAGTTCATAATTTGGGAAGTTAATGATATTAATAGAAGAGATAAGAAGAAATGTTTTTCTTTCATGTAAGTTCTGGTGTTACTGTGGAAGTATGGATTAGAGTCATGATTCCTTTGAGAAATTAATTTCCTAAAGGCCATACTGTAGAAGAAAAGAACAAGGCCATTCATAAAACGGATTAGGGGAGAAATGAATGTGCCATTGCTATTTTTAAGTCATTATTTGTTTCATTGCCCTATATAGGCAAGTAAATGTGTTATATCTTTTAGCTGAGATAGCCAAATTGAAATTGAACTATTTGTTACTAATATTTAGGCTGACATTTTAACATTCTGTTTAACATTGGACACATTTGTTCCTGTTACATTGTAATAGATGAAAGGAATAGATGAAACTCTATAAAAGTATTGCCATACCTAAAATATCAGACTCTTGATTATAGAATAGGTTAACGCCAATATTTAAATAGACACAATGATCAGAGTGTGGTTCAAGTAGTAGTGCCTAATGTATTAGTCATTAATTTTACATACTTCTTTCTCATTTCCCTCTATGCTTTTGTAGAGTGGGAATTGCCTTATGTATCTTGAATTCATTACTGTAATTTGTGTACTGTGTATTGACTAAAGCCAGTTTAAGTGGTATAGTTGTATAGAATTTGTGTTCCTTTGCTTTGTGTAGAGTGGATCACAGAGTTAATGTTTAATTTATAGTATTTATTATAGAACTATGATAATGTGGTTATACTTTATGATCTTTACCTGGATAACTCATGATTTAAGACAGACTATAATCTGAAAAGAATTTTGATTGTCTATATTAAGTATGAACACTGGTCCCAATATCCTATCACAAAGATTCATTGGACTAACTTTTCTTACCTAAAACAAAAACCAGAATTATTGTTTTCAAACCAGAATTAAGTGAGCACAATCTCCTAAACCAGCCACTTAATCTTGCAAATAAAAAATCTCTGATGTGGTAGAGTTGATTTAGATTGATGGCCATCAGAGCTACTCTCGTTAGAGCTAAAGCAGAGTGAGCACCTGCATCCTCTAACTTCTAGGACGGCACTCTGAGTGGTCCTGCCCAACTGAAATAGAATCCTCACTACCATTTCATTTATTCACATTCTGAACCATAACCCTTCTCTCTTCCTGTGCAGCATCGCCGTGCACCCCTGCGACGACATCCTTGTCACTTGTGGTGAGGACCGCCTCTGGAAGGTAGTGGGCATTCCCAAAGGCAATGTGCTTCTCACGGGACTTGGCCACACGGATTGGCTTTCTGACTGCTGCTTCCATCCCAGGTCAGTGCACAGCAGCCCCAGGACTGCACTTTCCTCCCCCTGCTGACTTTGATGGTGCTTCTGTCTCTGCAACCCTGCAGCCTCCACTGAATTTCAAAACGTGCAGATAAATGCTACTTTGGCTTTCATTATATTGACTTTAGATTGATTGCTTTTGATATTTAGTACATGTGAAACTTACTCCTCATTCAGATGCATTTAACAAAGGTAATGAGATCCTCAGGACAAACATTATTCATGCTACCTGTGCTCACAAACCCTTAGAAGGCACACGGATCCCTAGTCAATAATGGCACTGTTTACTCTGCCGCTGTTCATCTCACAGGCATTCCTTGTGGAATTAAGTTATCGCTAGAAAGGATCAGAAGGCAGTGATCAATTTCTGCTAAAATTTGAAACACTCAAAATATTAAAGAGAACAAAGCACTACGGAAAACAGTGAGCTCTGTCATTTTCAACATTGACTAAGAATGAAGGACATTGTTAAGCACACAGAAAACTATCCACTGTTCCTTGTGGTCATCTTCAGCATACTGTTTTCTGGTATTCGTTACTATTTTTAATATTTGTACATGCTATTGATCTGCCTCTTTCAAACACCATCTGGCCTAATCTCTCCTGGAGACACATAGCTCTAGATGCAATTCCTAAATCATTCCCTTGAAATTTTCTTTCCTAGGTGAATTTCTTATCAATTCAGTTTCATGTTTTGCTAAACTTCTTTTCTTTACCCGTCTTTCTTTTATCTTTGTTATGGATGTCAATGGAATTAGATTGAGGAAAATCGGTGGACTTAATCATAAATTTGTAGTCATTTTTAATGACTACAGTGTTTTGTTAATTTTAATTTTTAAATATGTTCCCAGTGTGTAACATATCTTTGGATGAAATATCTGTACTTAATTTATGAACATGTAGTGCATTCCCTATATTGGGTATGGATAAATAGAACTGCCATCGTACCTTTCAAAAATGTAACCCATCTTGCAGGCAGAAACAACACAATTAGAAGTATAACCTATCACTTATGTAGCTACTGGGCATACTAATCAGATTTTGATAGTGCTCTGTTACCATGACAGCCACCAGTTCTGAAATTTTCTCATTAGTGCTTGACCAGCAATGGTCCTTTTAATAGGTCTTCCTGTTTTCCCACTCAATTATTGAAATTAAAAATGAGGTGAGATTCATCATTATTTACACAGTATGAATTTACAGTCAGTACTTCCTTGGCTGAATTATAGTAAAATACTGCAGCACTGTTTGTTTCAGTACATTAAGTAAAAATAGTGGGGGAAAAGATATTTAACAGTTTGTGTTCTTTAGGTGAGAAATACTGAATAGTGGATGTTCTTTTTGTAGAATTCGACACAGGCTAAATGATTAGTGCAAACTACAATAAATAGTGGGAAGAATGAATGATTGGTGAAACAACAACTAAGATAAATCCTGAAAGTTTGCATTTTGTACCTCGAACATCATATAATGTTTAATGTATGTAGTTCATTACTGAAGACTACTTTTTCATGAATATATTATATGTATATATATAATGTGCATACATATATAATATATAATTGATATCTTGAAAGTTCAAATTCACACTAAATTTAAATTGTGATGTTGGAATTTTTCTTTGGCTAATGGATATGGTTAGAAAAAAATAGTTCTTTCTTGAAGACAACATTTTTTTATATCTCATTGTGTGAGGATATTTCAAAAATTTCATGGAAAATGGGATGAAAAAATTTTGTGCAAAAATTGTGAAATCTGGACATATGAGGTATTTAAGACAGTCATAGAAAATGCATATTATGAAAGAAACAGTGCATGAAATTTCAATTACATTTTACCAATGTAAACTTATCTTTAATTCCAGTTTCCTTGAACTTTTTGAAGTACCCTCATATACTTCATCTATAATTTTAGAAAGCAAGCATATAGAAAGCAAATGTAAAAACTTGTGACTTAAATATGATTCTTTAATCTATAATTGAGACTAGTTAATGCAATCATAGGCTTCCTTAGAACCCAATAATGGGATCTGGTTGATTTTGCTCCCTTGGAAGAAACCCAGGGTGAACATTATATATACTGATATTTGTTCACCTTAATCAATCCATACCTTTTCTTATTTTTAATTCCAGGTACTCCTATTTGAATGTTTTCTATAAGTTCTGTTCCCTTCTCATAACAGACATCTCAAATAGATAAACAGATAACAACAGGCCCAGCAATAAAATGAAAGGATAGCTATCATGTGTAGTCTCAGATAATGATGAAATATAGAAAGCAAAAGATCTTATAGAAATGAAGTGATAGTGGCATGGACATTCAGCCTGCTGATTAAGGTGTGAGTTAATTTTTCTGTATCTCAGCTCAAAGTATCTGGATTCAATACTCAGATTCTAGTTTTCTACTAATACAAAGAGTGAGGGGGAGGGGGTCAGTGGTGATGGCTCAAAATGTTGGATTCCTGACACCCACATGAGAGATCTGGGTTGAGTTACCAGTTTCCAGCTTTGACACAATCTCGTCCTAGCTGCTGGCATGATCTAAGGAGTTGAGCAGCAGATGGGGGTTTTCTGTCTTTCTGTCACTGCTCTGCTTCTGAAATAACATGTATATGACAATGGTGATAGAGATATCATCAAGATTTTCACTCTCTCTCCAAACTTTTAGTTTTTTATCAAATAACATTGACATTAGAGATGCTAATACAATAGTACATGTATTTAATGCTGTTGTACATTGAACTCTAAACTTCACAAAAAGGGAGGGAAGAAGGGAAATTTGATATTCTAAGAATTGTACTTATGAACTACACTGAATCTGTTCTCTTTGTATTAATATCACATTAACATGATGGTTGATGAGAAAAAAATACTTTGCAAAGAGACTAGAATGTTTGAGATCAATCATAGTTTGATTATTAAAAATGCATAAATTCCGCTCCCAAAATATAGCGTAAATGAACTCCTAAGGCCGGCGCCGTGGCTCAATAGGCTAATCCTCCACCTTGCGGCGCCGGCACACCGGGTTCTAGTCCCGGTTGGGGCGCCGGATTCTGTCCCGGTTGCCCCTCTTCCAGGCCAGCTCTCTGCTATGGCCAGGGAGTGCAGTGGAGGATGACCCAGGTGCTTGGGCCCTGCACCCCATGGGAGACCAGGAAAAGCACCTGGATCCTGGCTCCTGCCATCGGATCAGCGCGGTGCGCCGGCTGCAGCGGCGGCCATTGGAGGGTGAACCAACGGCAAAGGAAGACCTTTCTCTCTCTGTCTCTCTCTCTCACTGTCCACTCTGCCTGTCAAAAAAACAAAAACAAACAAACAAACAAAAAAAATGAACTCCTAGGAGCAGAAATCTACAAATATGAACTTGTGAATAAGATTCAATAACAAAATAAAGTGATAAGAAATGAATAATTAAAATATAATAGAGTGAATTATTAAAATATATAAGCAAATATTATATCAAAGAGGAACTAAAAGCTGTAATTTCCTAGTTGGTAAACAAGCACAATCAAAATAATTACCTCACTTATAAAATGTATCCAAAGCTGTATTCAGAGCAGAATTCATAGCTTCAGATACTTTATTAAAGAAAAAGAAACTAAGTTAGTTATGAATATAAATTAAAAAGAAAAACTTAAAGAAAGACAAAAAACATGTTAGTGAAATGCTGAAATTAAATTATAAAAATAGATATTTGTACTGAAGTTTTTACAAAAGAATGAAATAATATAAGGAAGAACTAAAATGAAATTAAGTAGATACCTTTGGAAAACTGCTGGAGGTGTATAAAAGTGGGGAAGTTTAAATATAAACCTTAGCAAACTGGAAGGAGTTAATATCACGAATTCAGGCACTGAGATACACATACATTTGGAAACTTTGATAAAATAATAGGTCTCTGAATATAAACATCAGTACTGAATTAAGGTGAAATGGAAACCCAGATTAGATTAAAAATTGTGGTATAAAATGGATTTTTGAAGTTGCACCTTGGCTTCTTCATTAGTGGTTTTATAACTTTTTAAACATTTACCAAAAACATAAGCCAAAGAGAAAATAGTCATTTTCTAGGCCCATTAAATTTCCCAAGAAGGAAAAATAGAGAAAATTTCACTATTGAGTTTAAAAATAACTCATAACCATGACCACAAACCAAGTAAATATAGTGCTGACATGCCAACTAGAGATTCATTTAATAATTGTGTAAAACGGTTAGAGACAGTATAGGAGGTAGAACTAGCGTATTTAAGAACAATATACGATGACCAAGTAATATTTCTACTTGGAAAGCAGAGAATGCATCAGTAATTCAAATATGAAGATGAAATACGGTAAAATTAAATCTTTGGGGATAGCATTGTGGTGTAACAGGTAACATTGCTGTCTGTGATGCTGGGATCCCATATGGGCTTTAATCTGTGTCCTGGCTGCTCCATTTCCAATCCAGATCTCTGCTAATGTCCTTGGAAAAGTAGTAGAAAATGGCTCAAAGGTTTGGGCACCTGCCACCCATGTGGGAGACCCAGATGAAAGCTCCTAGCTTTGACCTGGTCCAGCTCTGGCCATTGTGGCCATCTGGAGAGTGAACCAGTGGAGGAAGATCTCTCTTCCCCTCTCACCTTTACAAAATTTATTTAAAAAGAATAGGACAGATTTCATGTATATCATATATACAGTTTTAAGAACCTAATGATACTTCCTACCTACTCCCCTTCCTCCTTCCTTTCTTATTTTTCTTTTAATTTTTGTGATGGTATACTTGGAATTTACTTTATAAACACAAGCTTAACACTCCACTATATAAAGAATTCAAGTAGAAAGTAGAGAAAACACTGTTCCTCATGAATATAGACAAGGGTTATAAATAAATCTCAAGAGTTCAATTTTGCTCATATACATTGCATATCTTTTGTATTCTATGTATTAATTATGACAAATCAGAATAAACATAAAAATATTTGTCTTTTTGAGACTGGCTTATTTCTC